TCTGGTAGATGTGTCCAGTCTGAGCCCAGGGCAGGGAACCACAGGATGAAACCTGCCTGGGGAGGGGCAGTTTCTCTTCTGGGACTGACCTCTCCAGCACCAGGTGTCCTTGCTCCTTCACTGTCACCTCCCCGCTCTCTGGTCCATCCCCTCCCTCTGTGCCCCTGCACCCCAACTTCCTGCTCTACCTTTTTTTCTCTTCCTCCAGAAGTAAATGGCTGCAGCAGCCGCAGCTCCTGCTCCGAGCAGGATCCCCAGGACGGCTCCAACCACGGCACCAGTCCGATCCCCCGCTATCCTCGGTCGCCATAAAAGAGAACAAGACGCAGCTCAGCTCACAGCATCGCTCTGATGGGAGCAGGGTCTTGCCCAAGACCCCCAAGCCAGGCCCAACTTGGGATCGCCTCCTCCCCTCCAGCTGCTGGTCTGGCATCCTTTGTGCCCCAGCTGCTGCCCTCGCAGTCATGGGTCAGGGTTTGCTTGGCGATGCTGGGGATCCCTGCCTCTGCCCATGCACCAGGAATGTGGGGGTCAGGACACAGGAGCACAGGACACCCTTTCAGGCCTGTGTCCCTCTGCTCCTTGGTGCTCCAGGTCCTCCAGGAGGGAAGGAGCATTCCCACTGACTAATACAGTGCAGACCATGCTGATCTGCAGCTCAGCACTTCCTGCAGCTCTGTACTACCTTGGGGAGGGGACAAGGGAACACACCTAGGATGTCCAGGGAGACATCCTCCTGTATGGGCTGCTCCAGAGCCTTGTGGCGGATGTGGCAGGAGAAGATGCTGCCGGCGTCGCTGAGGGTGGGTGTGAAGGTGTAGGTCAGGGTGAGGTTGAAGGTCCCGTCTGGGTTCCTCTGGGGGCTGGAGAGGGTGGAGCCCTTCAGGACCTGCCCATCTCTCATCCACACCACGTCCACGTCCTTGGGGAAGAACCCCCACATGTGGCACAGGAGGGAGGTCTCAGCATCGGCCACAGCTGGTTTTCTTGGGATGGAGATCATGGGGGCAGCTGGAACAGAGAGTCAGCGCGCTGAGTGCGACCCAGGGTGCGGCATGTGTCCTTCCACCGTCTGGGTCAGGTTGGCACAGACCTGCTGAGGCCACGTGAGGCTTGGGCCCTGTGGCAGCCCCGCTGCTCAATGAACAGACCCCCACTGTGGCTGTGTGGGTCTGGGATAGCACTGCCCGTGCCAGCACTGTACGGCAGGCCATCTGCCTATTGCATAAGGCTTCCCACTGCTCCTGGGGCGCGGGCAATGGCCCTGCTTGGCTGGTGCTGGACATGACCACAGGAAAGTGTCACCTAGGGTCTGACTAGCATTGCTCATTCAGCACCTCACTTACATATGTCACAGGTTTTCTGGTTTTTTCTAACCCACTCAGCTGCCCACATCCGGTCCCAACCCAGCCACAGCCACCCCATGACCCCTCTCTGGTCCTCACCAAGCAGGTGTAGGGTGGTCTCCCCCTTGTGCTGCTGCGTCCCGTACCCCACAACACACCGGTACAAGCCCCCATCGGGCACGGTCACCGCAGCCAGCGACAGGGAGGCGTCTCCGCTCTGCAGCTCCTTCTCTGATGGCAGGCTGGCTTTGTGCAGGGCTTTTCTGCTGCCCTGGTCGTACCAGGCCACCTTCTCCTCCCAGAAATACCACGTCACCTGCAGGGAGTTCAGGGCCACGGGCCCCCCGATATCAAACCGGCACTGCAGCAGGGCCCCCGAGCCCACGCGGGCCGTGGAGGAGGGCGCCGTGGTCACCTGCAGCTGGGAACCTGCCCCGGGGAGAGGAAGCAGCGGGCGGGGCCGGCGCAGGGGAGAGGCTGCCCAGGATGGCACACCCCGCTGCGGGGACCTGGTGCAGGGAGATGGGGGCTGGGAGGCAGGGGACGGCTGCGCTCGGGGCAACGGGACTTCACCCCCAGACGCTGAACTGCCCCCTCTCCGTCACCCGCACCTTCCTCCCACGGGGTTTGGCCAGGCTGCCCCAGGGCTGCACACCCGCCCCAGCCCCCGGCTGCCCCCACACCCGCACCAGGGGAGCAGCAGGACTGGGATTATCTCGTGGGGCAGGGAAGAGGGGAGAAAGGAGCGGGGCCACGGGAAGGAGCAGGGTGCCCAGGCGCTGCCCCAGGGCTGCATCTTTCCCTCTGTCCTCACAGAGTCCTTGTCCCTGAAGCTAAAATGGATCCCAGCAGCTCCTCTCTCGCTTTCACTTTCACTTGGGAAGGAGCCAGGCCCCAGGCTGGGATCAACTCGAAGGGGCTCCCGTAG